GCGCCAGCGGATGTTGGCGGTGACATCGTCGCAGGCTGGAGAGAGATGGTCAAGTACATGTCGTCAGGCACTGGCGACCAACGGCATCAGTGACTTTGTGGGGATTGTGGGAGAGGCTTCAAGGCCAAGAGATGAGGAGATTGCGGAGATGGCACCCGGCAGACGGGAATAGTTCTCCCACCTGTATGCGGCAGAATCCTCCAGAGAAGCCTCAATGCTTGCCTGAGGGGTAGATCGCGGCTGCCGCGATCAGTTTTTGCTTAGCTAGGCAAGCATGTTGATCCATCTTGAGTAAAGCACTACAACGAGAGGCAGCCCGTACGCATGTACTCTGATACTAGAGAGTGAAGGGGGCTGCTGCGTGATCTTGACAGCCGTCCCCAGGCTTGGGTCGGTAATTTGAAACGCACATACATATCTTCATGTGGGCATGCGTGCGATCTGTGAGAGCAGTTCCAAGCACGCGCATCGCTGTGCAGATCGTCGGCTCGTTGGAAATGCTTATGTAGGTGGTGCAAAAGGTGCAGATCTCTTTGCTGAGAGGCGGCACAATGATCAATAGCTACTGAGTGATAGCTGGGGCAGCAGAAGCTGTGGTAGTTCCATTTGACATTTTTTTTTTCTGTGGTAGGCAATCTTCTTTCTCAGAAATTGAAGTCTTCGAAAATCACCTCTTTATCCTTCAACCAGAGAAGCAGCTCTTTTCTCATAGCTGTTCCAGTGCAGATATAGTACCTCGACGCAGACTCAAGCTGCACATCAGCCTGCATAATCCTGCGTAGATGTACAGCTGCACCATGCTGTCGCAGCTCCTCGATAGCCTTCTCATGCTCCTGTCCAGCCTGCGTGATGTACAAGAATAAGCAATGCTTCAGACGTGGATTCTGCACCAAGGTGTCAAGGACCATGCCTGCATCAGCAGCACGTATTGTCCAGAGCAGTTTCAGCCTATTCATGTCTAGCTCGTGGAGCGATGGTAGGATGGGAGTGATGCCCACCCCGGCTGCGATGAAACACGTAGAACAACCCTCGCGATCATCCTGCTGCGTGACTTCGAATTCACCGCCGAAGCCTTTCACGCCGACTTCTAGCTCGCCCTTTCCCCACCTGTTGTCCTTTGCTCCTTCTTTGCCAGTGTAGCCAAACAGAAAGTCCGTCACGACGCCAACTTTCCGAATTGTGATCTCAAACTCGTCATCTTTAAGTCGCTTATTAGGACGAGGTGGAATGCCTGGAGGTGAGCTGACGGTGAAAGTCCGGACGAAATCGTCGTTCAGGCTCCTTGGGTCGTCGTCTCTCATGTGGCTATACCCGATGTCAAGGTGCGAGGAAAAGTCGAGAGTGACATACTGCCCAGCTTTGTATGTAGCAGCGTTTTGTAGAGCAAAAGTGAAGCGTGAGATTGTGGGCGTGAGCTTCGTTTGTCGCAGTAAAGTGGCTTGCACCAATTCCCGATCCTGCTCGCGAGCTGTTCTCTTCTCTGAGGTTAGAAACCTTACCGTTGGGTTGTAGGGTGAGGTGTCGCCTCGGAGGCCTCTGAATGCGAGAGCGCTAGCAACTAATCTCGCCGCCGAGACTGTCATCTTGACTACGAGATTGGAGCGAGGCAGCAGTCTCGCAGCTTCTGCTCCAACGAGCACTTCGGTCCTACCTGTTAAAAACAACATGTCTCCGTTGTCAAAGTCAGGCACGCAGATGCCAGCTAACGGGTTGACCTTGAGGTTTCCCAGAGTCTGGTACAACCTATTGCCCGAGTACTCGGGGTAGCAAATCACAGCCCCAGACTTATCATTCGACACAACTCGCACAAAGCCTGCTGGGCCACCACGGTGGTTCGTGTCCATGTCATACGTGTGGTTAGAGCTTGATATGAAGAACAGGTCTGTGTTCGCCAGCAGGTCGGCAGCTCGCTGAGGCAACTGCGGTGATGCTGAAAGCAAAGACGGCCGAGATGCAGCAGGCACGATGTGTTTCTTGTTGAGATATTTCGGACAGTTACCCAGACTCTGCTCAATCTTGAGGACTAGCTGTATCTCAGCACTTGAAGACCCATCGTCGCCAGCCCTCTGCTCGTCGTCCTCTCTCGTCCCAAGAGCGCCAGCAATCATCCTACCGAAGAGCTTGACGCGCTTGCGCGTCTCGAGATCGATGGTCAGTCCACTGACCATCCTCCCTCGACCGGACCCGCGCACCACCTCCCCGGTGGGATCTTTGCCCACGAGATTCTCGACGACAGGATCATGCTGCCCAGTGACTACAGTGCGGATGCCTACAATGCCGCCACCGAGAGGACGGGCGAAATTGCTGTCACCTCCCCAGAGCGTGGTCCACGGGCGATTGTCCGCATCGAGTGTACCCACAGCCAACAACGGGGCGATCTGCATATGATTCGCCAGCTGTGGCGACAAAGCGGGTACGGTTGGGTTGTCCGTCTCTGGAGCCCTCATAGCGCTGCGCATCTCCCTCTCGCCGTCATGCCACGGCATGTCTTGGTAGAAAGCCATCTTCGTCTGATTCCTGGTCCGTTCCGTGGAGGGGGAGCGAAAGGAGGAGGATGGGTGGAGGTAATCTGGAATGGTCAATTTGAGCACGTTCGCGGTCGGTCCAGTACGCAGGACCTTGATTTTTAAGTGGCCGGCTGGAAGAGGCTATAGCTCGAGAAAGCGGGACCGCGAACAATAGCGCTTACACATCACTAGACATCTCCAGACTGCACTCCAGATCTCGAGGAGCCTGGTAGGCACACCAGGTAGATGGACTGGGCTTACCTGCGTGAGACCGCTACTCTGGACAGGAAGGAAAATCCATTACATGGAGGCGACGGTGTTAATGAGCAATGTTGACACGGCACCGCACAGCACCTGGTAGCCATAGCGACGTGCTTTTTGGCATGTGAAGGCCATCGGGCGATCTATATGAGCCATTTACGAGCCACCGATCGCCTGCAACACGACACGTGTTGTGAGGAGATTCACCGGCCTAGCCAGATGCGTACCGTGGGCTCTGGAAGCCAGAGGGAGTGCTGCCAATACATCCATCCATCCATCCATCCCACCTCCAGTGGCGAGTCTGTGCGGAAGCAACCGATCGCGAGCAGGAGGTGTTGGTAGCAGGTGATGCAAGCCTCATGCCTATGATCGAGCAAGAATGCAGAGGGATGACGAAAGGCTCACGTGCCGGTACGCAAGCATGTCTGCCAAGTGGCCACAGCAGGCAGAGGGGACCGTGTGAATCTGAGATCACCAGCCTCACCTTACCCCTTTCGACTCTGCACCGCCGCCTCCAGACGGGTGCGTGGCAAGGCTTGTGCAGGAACGAGAGGAGCCGTCAGGAAGCTTGGAGGGGCTGGCAGCAGCAGTATCGTAGGAAGCTCCGTTTGCAGGGGCCCATGGACAGCGCCGAGGTCTAGGTGCAGGTCCAGGTCCAGATTGCCCCTCCTCTGCTGGATACCTAAGGTTCCCGGTGGATTGCGTGCCACACATAGCCTAAGGCAGCCTAAGGTAGCCTAGCATCAAGGTGACCTCAAGGTGAAGTGGTGATGCCCCGCGTACGTCATCGTTCTGGGCGCTGCCACTCGTTCCTGCGATTGTTGCCTGCCCGCAATTACTGGCTAATGACGTTGCCCTGAGCTTCGACCTTGCTCAGGTGACCCCACTACCAGCCCGGCAGCGTCGATGGCAGTGAATCGACAGCTGTTCACGCCATCCGTAGGTCAAGGGGGAGAAAGGCGAGAGGCGAAAGGCGAAAGGCGAAAGGAGGAAGGAGAAAGGCACGTGTGTTCAAGGCTGCTTTGACCACGGCAGTCGAATACAAATACCAACACGCCTGCCGCTCTACCTCCCATTCATTCTCCCTTTCCATCACATCAAATACTCACAACAGTCACGTTTACAGTCTACCAATACCACCACCACCAAACCAACCCACCCCACCCCACCAAACCAAAATGTCTGCACCAAACGTTGATGGCCCAAACGAGGGCATTGTCGGCCAGGCCGTCAACTCTGCCAAGAACGCCGCCAACTACGTCTCTGAGACCATCCAGGGTGGCTCTGCTGAGGCCAGCAAGGAGGCCAACAAGCAGCAGGCCAAGGGCAACGTCCCCGGCCAGGACTCTCTCTCCGACCGTGCCAGCGGTGCCTTCGGCGCTGCTTCCGACAAGCTCGACCAGAAGAAGCACGACACCTCTGCGTCTGCCAACAAGGAGGGCATCTAGATTCTTCGCCAAGAAGATCTGAGCTACCCTCGACATCTTCATCAGCACTGCGCCACTACTTGAAGTTATCTGCTATAACAACAATATACATCAGGTAGTCCTGAGCACGGTACAAACCATTACCGAAAGATGGATGACTTGAGTGGCCTCTCTTTGGGAGAGTTTCTGATGGCTTCAAAGTCACGATTTATGGATGAGGGCATGAGATTCTGATTGTACTCCATAATACCCTAAATGCGAGACAAACTTACTGTCTAAAACAACCAACTTGACCAAGCCTGTTCCATTTTCTTCCATCCTCATCTTCCAATTAGCCCAGTTATGTAGAGCATCCCTAGATAAGGTTGTGGACTTGGGGACCCAGTGTAGTCATGCTGACCATGCATGTGTCCTCACTGAGCGACCTGATCACCCTACAATGCAACTCTGACAGCCAGTCATCCACCAATGCTCAAGCGAACATATGGATACGACTACTGAGCCAACGAAACAACGCTTCAACTGTGTTTCCCATCACCTGACCATATCTGCTACACCACGACAGTGTAAGTGGCGCCACAGTTCCCCGATTCCATATCACGTAATGGTTTAGCTCTGGTGTCATGGCCACACTCAAAAGTAACCGCCCGGTGTTGCAGCCAAACTTGTAAAATGTAATCTGCCAACCATTCCTGATGTCTCGTAAGTCCATCACTTGGTTTCTTACGCAGTGGAAAAATCACGCCTCGTATGAGCGTCTTGGAAAGGAGCAAAACCAAAGCCATGTAATTTGCCCAAAAAACAGTGGTCAATACGAGGGTCGAACTCGCGACCTTGGCGTCTCCAAGACCGATCAGTGTCACAGTCTATTAGCACCACGCTCTAACCGACTGAGCTAATCGACCAGTTTATGGATCTCTAACAGTGAGATCGTTGTTGGTGAGCGCTAAATTCGGAATTATAATACTCAACAATGAGAGGCCGGGCAGTCTAGTAGGCCACGGTGATCGCTCATCAGCGCGATGGCGTAGCGGTCACAACTTGAGGACGGTGTCCGTATGAAACTCACGGCAGCCTCCTAACTGCTCATGGGATAGGGCGAACGTATACTGAGAATGCTGATATGGCTCTCACGTCAATGGTTGCATTGGATTTGTAGACAAAAACACGGAGCAGGAAACGAAACGAAGGGCAAGAATTTGGGCTGATCCATGCATCCTCCTGGCTCCAGCTTCGAACCCTGAAAGACATGCAATCTTCATCTCCGCACCATCAACTCTGAACTAATAATACTATAACGATGGTAGCGCCGTTATCACAAAGCGCAGTCCCCTTTCTGAGGTTGCCGTCGCCTATTAGGGCTTACATATTCAGGTTCTGTTTTGCGCCAAGAAGTTTTTCGACTTCAACATGCAGGGCGGCAGGGGGTCATGAGAATCCACTGGTAGGTGTCGGTCCATCATGCAATGCTTATCACGTCCAATCCTTCTGAGGTTTCCTTTCAACTTAGATGGTCTGATGATGGATGTAGGGATTACCGCGATCAGGCACGCCGCCAAATCTTGCAGCTCGCATGAAACGCGGCCTGCCTGAGAAACGCCCAATACCCAATGTCTCGAGGGTAGTTGCAGTCAGCAGTGCAAAGGGTGGCGTTGGCAAGAGCACCATCGCCATCAACCTGGCTCTTGCTGCTGCACGGCAGGGCATTGCGACCGGTATCTTGGACACCGACATCTATGGACCCAGCATACCGACGTTGCTGAACGTATGTGGGATGCATTGCACACTTCCAGAAGCGTCTCTAGCATCGGCTTGCTGACTTTTGACGATGACAGCTCGAAGGGCTGGAGCCAGAACTTGATCCTAACAATCGCCTGGTTCCCCTTACGGCATATGGGTTGAAAGCAATGTCGATGGGTTTCCTCGTCCCCCAAGACAGCCCTGTCGCATGGCGAGGGCTCATGGTGCAGAAGGCCATGAACCAACTACTCTTCGAAGTCAGCTGGCCGAAGCTGAATCTCCTCATCCTTGACCTGCCGCCAGGCACTGGGGATGTCCAGCTGACCATCTCACAAAGCCTCGAGCTCTCTGGTTTGTGACACCACATTGATGGTCTTCACTCGGTTCACTGACGTATCGCTCAGGTGCGGTCATCGTATCCACACCCCAAGACCTCGCGCTTCGAGACGCTACTCGAGGCATAGATTTCTTCAAGAAAGTCAGTGTGCCCATTCTCGGAATGGTGCAGAACATGAGCACCTTCACTTGCACGAATTGTGGACACAACCATGACATCTTTGGACTTGACGGTTCGTACTGTGTGGCTCTCCTGCCTGTATGACTGTGATCGCTGACTTCGATATGCAGGTGCCAAGCGGAAATGCGAATCAATGGGTGTGAAGCTACTGGGCGACATCCCTCTACATCCAGACATATGCGCGGATGCTGATAGAGGGAAACCTACTGTGGTGGCGAATCCCGACGGGCCGCAAGCACAGGCGTTCACGCAAGTTGCTAGAGAGCTGATAACTTCAGTTGGCTTGTAACATAGGAAATGTATCATCATGTACAGGCTGTCCAGTCACAACATACCATACCCTAGTAATGTATCAGTCCTAAGCACACTTGTCGATCAGTCACTCTACTTTCAGGGTGAATTGATAGAACCATGACTCCATAAACACTGGAGAGCTTTGGACTATGCACAAGAGGGAAGGACAGCAAAGCGGATGATTGATCTAGACATATACATTAGGTGATATTATAAAGACACGCTAATAAGTCAAGGCAGCTTCCCAACCCATGTATTTATCTATGCCATCATCACAACCATATATCGTTAAACATTATCTACATCTCCAAGGAAATCATCATCAATGAGTGGCTGCAGAGCTATACTGGCCCCACTGCGGAAGCTCGCTGGAAGCATCCTGAGGTAGCGTGACCTCGCTGCACAGGGTATTGACGCTAAGCCCAGGCACAGAGCTAGGGTCGATGTATTCTCCCGTCGCCGCCGAAGTGATACTGAAACGTACGTTGTCGGCCATCCAAGGGATGGTGGTGTCGGTGCTCATGTCTGCCAACTCGCCCGTTTCGACCTTCTTGAGCAGAGCGCCAGTGATAGGCACGCCGTCGCGGACCTTGCCGGACATATCCATGCTGGAGCCTGTGAAGAAGCCGTTGACGGCTGCAAGGTTGGGCTCCTCAGCCCAGCCGGAGGGATTGTTGTTGTCGAAGTCACCAACAAAGATCCAGACGAGGAAGGAGCCGTTCATCTGCATCACGTCCGCTTCGACGACAGTGATATATTCCATGACGGTGTTGTGGGTAGCGTTGTCAGAGCGTTTGGTCGCTATGGGTGCTTGAGTATCTCTGTAGAGGTTGTTGATGATGCTTGGGACCGACTGGCCGGATGCAATGTCGTAGTCAGCGTAATTGAGGACTGAACTGTCGCGGACTGCGTCAGACGTCAAGAATGAGCTGCTAGAGCTAGCTTGGAAGGGCTCGAGAGGAGAGGTTGAGTCCATGGTCGAGTCAATTGGGTAGTAGTAGGTAGGCGCCTGCTCGGCAAAAGGGGTAAGCCATTCGTCAGCGTAGACGGCCTGCCAGAGGGACAGGACGTGGTCGACCATGGCATGGTGAAGCCAGAATGCAGGGTCGAATGCTGCAACCCAAGGGTTACCCATGTCTCCGCCAATCTGGCCATGCACTGTGTTGTGGATGCCCTCTAGGCTCGAGACGGAATTGTCAATGATGATTTCTGAGCTGAACGCATTATATGACTGTGGGGTTGAAAGGAGTGCCCAGAGGGAAGAACGTAGGTTTTGACGTGTTTGGCCAGACATTTGAACATTCCTGACAGTGGCTGCTGTATTTGCAGCGCTGGTCGGGACCATGCCGGAAGGCCAAGCATAGCTCTTTAGGGGATTCTCCACGGTCTGTTGACCTGTAGGAGTTGTAACAGTGACCGACTCGTCCTCCATCCATGAGGGCCAGGCTTGTCCATCAACAGGCTTTGAAGCCCAATCCCAGTACGGTAGTCGAAGCTGACTGGCAGCTTGAGTATAGCGAGTGTTGTCATCTCCTGTAAACTCGCTTGCAATGGCATATGCATTGTTCAGGAGTGACTGCTCAAAAAGCCCCAGATAGGATCTGTGCCAAGTTGGGAAGAGAGTGGACGCGTGCGTACAGAAGCCAGTGTCGTCCGGACACCCATCACATTTGTCTACACCATTGTAATGTTGAAACGGCGCACCATGGATGCTAGCGATCTGATAGTACGACATTGGATCAGATGGGTCCATGTCCTTGAATCTTTGTAAAGCCAAAAGATATAGGTTCCATTGGTCGGTGTTACTTTGCAATAGAGTGATATCCATTCGCCGTTCGACACCACCTTGAGTGGCACCTGTGACGCCACTGGCTGTGTTGTTCGATCCTTGTCGAGGGAAGTGTCGTCGCGGAAGCGCAAAGACGGATGCTGTAAAAGCAAGCAGGGCTGTCAACTGTGTATGTACAAACATTTTGATTTTTCTCTATAAAATGGTGTATGTGCTTTGAAAGTGGGTAGGTTGCTATGGAACAACGAAGGATTCGATATTGATAACGAAAGACGTAAGGAAATAAGAAAAAGATACTCAAGGAAAGAAGCTAGGAAAACTGTTGTGCTTGTAGGTTGTACTCAATCTCTGCAATATGGAGGGACCTACAGCATTAGCGGACGTGAAGATCTTCTATTTAACATCGTCAGTCATCACCAGTAAGGCTGCAATAGATGATGGAGGATCATCCCGTATGGGCGAGAAAACCCCATCAGAGCCTGTGCTAACAAGCCGCATCCAATGCGCCACTCTAGAGCGAATGCTATGTTGAAGTTTGTAAGCTCTCTAGGAAGCAGCAAATAATGTTATTCTGGTAGAGGCCATGCAAGTGAGCGGCCAGATATTGCGGAGCAGCGGGAAACCATCCTATTCCAGGTGATTGCGCCTGCTCAGCCTCTTCCCAGAATGGAAAAGGCTCCTCCCATTTCGCGTGGCGGATGTTGAAGCCCACGCGCTTGCAAGCCGCAGGATCCTTGATCTCGAATTCTGGGTTCTGAATTTTGGATTCTGGATTTTGACTACTGGGTTACACAGATTGTGTTGCACGTGTAGCTCCTCGACAATGCGTAGGACCTTCTTCATGACACGCAAGGAAGTTTGTGACCATGAAAGTGCATCACAGTTTGCGAGCAACTCATCCAGCACCAGGCCTTCATGGACGCGAAGCATGTGACCCGGCAGCGATACAGCCACAGCCTCACTTGCGGGCGGCGAAGGGATCTCACTTTTTTGGATCGGTTCTTACGCCTTCCGAACACAACTATAGCAGCTGGATGCGCACGGCTTGGTAGCCACATGCACACACAGAGATCGCGCCTGGGGCCGTTACGCGTGAGCAGACGCCTATTGCAGTTCGCCAAATATCGATCGTGCTCGCTCGTTGATAGCACTGGGAATCACATCTTATGACCTTGTGGGGGCTTCGTTGGATGGGGCTTCTCCAGGATCACAATGCTGACCTGCGTGCAGATGACCTCTTCCTTCACTTTCACGAGATGACAGACACCGTGGTCAAATAGTCAGACTGCAGCCGACAGCAACTGGTAGAAACCTATCAGCTGATGTTTAGAGGCTGGTACTCACGGTTGGCTTCTCTGGCTCAACGGTCGAGCCTCAATGTCCAAACGAGGGGCACATGCAATATAGTTGGTGCCGAGGCTACAGAATGGTCAGCTGAAGGGCGCACGTTATCGAGCTTCTTGTGGGATTTTAGAAACCATCCGCTATTGGTAGTCCGGAGTCAGTATACATTGCATGGCTTGCGCACGTCTGATGAAGAAGCACTCGCATACCAAGCCGTAGTA